GTTACTCCGATGACGGGTATTGGTCGGGCGTTGAAGTCTAAGAAGTTGACTCCGCGTTTTATTGGTCCGTTTCAGATTACGGAAAGAGTTGGAGAAGTTGCTTATCGCATTGCTTTACCTCCGAGACTTGCGAATTTGCACGATGTTTTTCATGTTTCTCAGTTGAGGAGATACATTCCAGACCCATCTCATGTAATCCAAATAGATGATGTACAGGTAAGAGATAACCTGACAGTAGAAACATTGCCTATGAGGATAGAAGATCGGGAAGTGAAACAGTTAAGAGGTAAAGAGATAGCATTAGTGAAGGTTGCTTGGGGAGGTCCAGCAGATGGAAATATCACTTGGGAGCTGGAGAGCCAGATGAAAGAGGCTTATCCGGAGCTGTTCGTCTAAGGTATGTTTTCGAGGACGAAAACTCTTTTAGTGGGGGAGAGTTGTAACACCCCGTTTTCAATTAATTGATTTATTTAAATTTGGGAATTTATTTTATTAGAATTAATAAAATAAAAAGAATTATTTATTTTGGAGTATTTGAGGAAAATAAAAGAAATAAGGAATATTGGGATTTTTATGTTATTGGGCTTAGATGTTGTTAGTAAAGAGTGGGGGTGCAGAGAAATAAAGTTATGTTTGGGACTTAGGCCATTTTCTCATTTTTGGTTTTCACGTAAGAACAGAAGTTGGAAATTGGGAAAATAGAGCTCTGAAGGAACGGAGAACGAAGAACATCGCTCAAGAACTCAAAGCTGCTATTTGATAAGGTAAGGGGGGTTTATACTCGATTTATATTTGTTTATGGGTTTATGTACGGTTGATTCGGGTAATCGTAGGAAATCCCAATTGTTAGATGTTTCTAGGGATCGATAACCGTAGGACTGAACCTTGTTAGAAAAGGGTTAGGTTCCCAATTGTCATGAATCGATTAAGAATTTAGGTCCCAAATAATGAATTGGGAGTATGTATCATGATCGTGAATTTACCTTGGAAGTTGTAGGGATAACCTCAGTGTCAGTAGATTTCCCCAAAAGGACGGTTAATCCCCGATTAAGGTTATTATAATAATTGTTGGTAACTTGGATATTGTGGTGTTGTTGTGAATTGTGCAAACTCGATGCGTTAGGTACTGAAATGCGCGTTTTGGCGGACGTTTTCCCGCGTTTGGACTGCTGTTTCTGAGCTGCTGCAGGTTCAGGAAAATCCTGTACGCGCTCAGCAACACGGGCCGTGTTGCACAACACGGGTGCCCGTGTTGCTCTTCTGTGTTGGGAGAGGTTGTGCTTCTGGTTGCATGACACGGGCCGTGTTGCACAACACGGGTACCCGTGTCAGAGCCCCTGTACTGATAAAAATAAAATGTGCATTTTTCTGGATGTGCTGCACAACACGGGCCGTGTTGCACAACACGGGCACCCGTGTTGCTCTGCTGTGATGATTTTCTGAATTTTTGGTTTCAGTGTTTTGATGTTGGATTTTTATTGCCATGCTTTTAGATATGTTATCGAGCATGAATTATGATATAATTGATGTGATTGGTTGATGTTTGAATAGTATGCTGAGTGATTACATGCTATTCGTAACTTGATATGATTAATGTTTAAATAGTATGCTGAGTGGTTACATGCTATTTCATATCATGTTATGTTTGATATTGTTGATGTGCATGATATGTTGATCGATGTTTATAGTATGCTGAGTGTTACATACTTACATATCATGTTGCATTTGTTAATTCCCATTGTGTGGAATTAACATGGTGGCCAATATACGTGTCCGCGATTTAATGGAACGTTGAGGTGGTAGCCGTGTCCGCGATATAATGGAACGGTGAGTTATCCGTGACCCGCGATTTAATGGGGCGGTAAAGTGGTACCACATGCATGGGTGTGTTGCATTAACTTGAATATAACATGAATGGATGATTTTTCCAATGTTATATTTGATTGTTTGTATGCACGTGTGATTGATAAATGGTTTATGATGTTTGATGAATGTTTGCAAATATGAAAAGCAACATGTCATGGATATATGAATTGTAAAGGTTTTGTAAACTATGAAATATGCTAATTATTGGGTGATGCTTATGATTTCGTGAATTGACTGTTATGAATGTATAACCAAATGTATATTTGAGAAGCTCACCCTTACTGTTGAATATTTCAGATTGAGGAGCTTCGCTCAGGTGCTTGGCGAAGGCTTATCGTGTCTAGTTTAGTTTCGTTTTAGTATGTCCGGGTCATGCTCTGATAGTTGTAACTCCGGGAACGTTTGGTTGTCGAGCTGCTTTAGTCAGACTCGTTTATTTTCTTTTAATTGTTATAATATGACGTTGACTTTTCCAGGTGTTAATCCCTGATGATTTTGGAAAATATTATAACATTTGATTTTATTAAATAAATTATTCCGCTGTGTAGACATGTATGAGTTACCACTAAAATTATGCATGACAGGAATTTGTTGTAATAAAAGAGAATTGTGACATCCTCGATTTTACATGTACTCTGAGTTTATAATTTTTAATATTTGCGAAAATTATATGTGGGGTTTTAGAGGGTGTTACAATTAGCACCCCACACGTCCATAGTACTCTATGGGATCCACTCTCGTTATTCTAATCAAAGGGTGTGTTCAACCTAATGCTTAAAGGTTATAAACTAAGAGATGATGCATGCAAAGAAAATATAAGGAATGTAGGGAAAATAAAGTTGTACTCGCTTGGGCCCTACCCCAATGCCTATCTATCCTTTTTGAGGAATCAGAGCTACCATAATTCGGCTCATATGTTTTGTTTGTTTGTATTTTTTAAATGAACAATGTTGCATTCGATCATTTCACCACTGCTCGACCTTTGGAGACTTATGACCTGTAGTGGAAAGGAGCTAACATGCTCTTAGAAGAGAAAAACCGAATGGCAAAAAGGAATGGATTGGTTGGTATTTTTTATCATGAAAAGAATTTTTGCATGCTTAGCATTTTTTTATTCATTTTCCAAGAAAAATAAGTTTTAGTTTTAAATGTAATTATGCAAAAATGGGAAGAAAACATCTAAGGGAGACTAACCTATCTCTAACCTAATGTTATCATACAATGAGGGATCCTACCTAAGTTAGCATGCCAAAGAAAGTCTAACAAACTATCCTATAGGGAACATGCACTGAGAGTGAAGTCGTGATCTCAATTTCTAAATTGAGTGACTCATCGATCAACAAGAAATAAAGGAAAACGATAAAATCCTATAGGGAGCATGCACTGAGAGCGAAGTCGTGATCTCAATTTCTAAATTGAGTGACTCATCGATCAACAAGAAATAAAGGAAAGCGATAAAATCCTATAGGGAGCATGCACTGAGAGCGAAGTCGTGATCTCAATTTCTAAATTGAGTGAGTCATCGATCAACAAGAGAGGAAACAAACACAAGCACAACACATATAAGAAATGAAGTGCGGAATGCTTGCTACAGGTCTTTAAACAGCGACTTCGAGCGCACGCTCTTTATTTCCTACTTCTCATGATATCTAGAAAAGCGATAAATGCGGAAGAATAACTTGGAAGCAGTATAATACTAAACGAATAATGACGTCCACCAAAAGTGCAACCAAAGAAATTCGAGATACTTCGTACGAGCTGGCATCAACAAGAAAACAGTCAGAGTTCGAATATTTAGAATAGGTGTCGAAACTTCGTCGATGTGAAAATAAATCACAATCGGAATTCAAACACATCCGCATATCAAACAATAAACCTGCATAAGACTCAACTCAACAAGCAAAGGTGAATCACAAATCTTAAGTAATTGGATAATCAGAGTTTAATTATAAAAAACAAATAATAATAATAAAAAAAACTATAATATTTTTCATTAATGTTTTTTTTAATAATAATTTTTTTTATCAAGTAAAAAACTCAAACAAGTCTAAACAATTCACAAAAATTACTTAAAAGAAAATTACTAAAAAAAAACTCAGGGGGGTGCAAGCTGGAATACTGGAGGTATAGAAGTAATTTAGGTGCTGGGCACATGCAGTAATGTCCAATAGGCAGTTTTTGTTTGAAAAACAATATGCTAGCAACAAAAAAAAACTGTGAATGAGCTTAGTAAGGATGTGCAACCAAAATCCCAACGAAAACAACAGTCCACCATACTGTTTTTGTTACACACCATTCAAATGCCAAAAAAAAGACAGTATATTGCGCTTGAGGAAATGCAATCCGGTCCAATAATCACACAACAGACCAATTTTTTTGGTTGTAAATTAGATTCCAAAAAAAAACCATTTTAGCAGCCCACTTGTATCAAAGAAGATATCCACGGGCCTAAGGGTAACCCAGTTTGGCCCAGTCACTAACAACACAAACCCACCATCCTGAAAGAGGATTTAGGGTTCAATGTTATATGACCTAGACTTCATGTTCAGAGGCCTTTCCTCTTCTTCTTCACACCCAACGCGTCATCTCTCTTCTTCTCTCAAACCAAATTGGCAGAAAACTCAACAACTTTATCTCCTCTGTCTCAAGTTCTCAACCTCTATTCGTCTTGCTCGACACAACCGGTGCGACGCTCCTCTTCACTATCAGCCATTCTGCTACTGTATCCACGTTGTTCATAATTCGAAGTTCCTTTGCTCATATTCTTTTTTTAAACATCATCGATTTCGTTTATGTTCTCTCACTCGCTCGTATCCGATCTATCAATCAACACCTCCGATGCGTGCTTTATTTCGATTCGCTCCAATTAGCACAAGCAGAAAAGAACAAATTTAAAGAGGATAGAAAACAATACTAACTTACCATCCATTGAATCATCCGGCGCGTCTCTGAGAAGATGACAATGATAATCGAATCGGAGAACTTTGACTAAGGCTCATGTATGTGTTTTCTGATTAGAGTGATCCTGTCAATTCTTGCTTCTTCTTCTGATGTGCATTCCGATCTTCTTACGATCTCTTCTTGAATTTTTTTTTATTTTGATCCGTGATTTGGTGTTGTATAACACTGAGCCACTATGGTTGTTTGAAACGTGTGCAGAGATGAATGAATATTCTGAAGAACGAAAGAGATGGAGGTACCTCGAATATGGAGGAGCGAAAAGAGGTTGTTATTATGAAGCTGCAGATTGAAGCACAGGGAAGATGATTAATATTGAAGTTGCAAAGAAAAAGAGCTTTGAAAACGCAGAGAATCAGAGAGGGCTTAGACATTGTGATTGAGGAAGATGAAGATTCGTTGAGGATTATGCAGAGAAAGCCTTTTTTGTGAATGACGGTTGATGAAGGAGCTGGATGAAGCGTGAGGTTATGAATTGAAGAAGCAGGAGTTGCAAAAGATTGAAGAAGTTTCAAGCCAGGTTCAAGAATGAAGAAGGTTGAAGATGAAGATGAGTGTTCTTCCGAAAACTTCAGAGAGATTCCAAGGTGAGAGTTCTGTGAACTTTTTTGTTTTCTTTATGAATGCTCCTCTCCCTCAATTCTGTTATCTTTTTGTGTATAAATCGTGAAAAAATACCCATCAATCTCAGTGAAATTTTTTGTTATACTTTGTTAGAAGTTTGTTACAAGTTGGTTGGAAGGGTTAGTTGACAGTTAGCTTTTTCTGTTAGAATAGTTGCCTGTTGGTAGTTAGGAGATTAGTTATAATTCTGTTTTTGTTTTCTGATATTCTCTTTTATACCTTCTGATTTTCTAATGCAGAGCTAGATCACAGTTTGTACGGTTTGATCCAATGGTCCATGGTGCAAAGCTGAAACTTAGCATAGTATAGCAAGATGCATTGAATTTGGAGGCATGGAGTTTGACACGAAGCTCATAGAATTAGGACATTCATTAACTTGCAACATTTTTATAGTTTTCTTTTAAATGTGAAACCGGTGATATGATTGGTTTTTGGATGTAATTGAATTTTGGTTTAGGGACTTTGATGTAATATATTCATAAGTTGGATTGAAATTGTCACTTTTATGTAATTTTGAATGGTTGAAAGTGTATATGTTCTAGTTCTTGATTTTGTAATAGCCATGGTTGAATCAAGAAAAGAGACTTTGAATTAATTCACCTGTCTTTGAATTTATTCTCTTATGCTTACATCTTCTCAAAATTTATCTTGAATGAATCGCGATCCCTTCTTTAACCTCAAGTTCAAAATCTTCTTTTTGTATCTCAAACATAATCCAAATTCTAAGCAAAGCCAATTGATGAATCACTTATGTTATGAGTACAAGAAAACCAGGAAAATTATCCACAAGTCCTGTAACATCTCTCGCATATATCTTGTTCTTCAAGCAAGTTAAATGACTTATCCTTGAATCACATTAAAAACTTCTATTCCATGTTCATCTTAAATCGATCCTTAATGCAACTCAAGCGTTCATGACAAGTCGAAACTTAGTTGACTTTAAATGGCGTTCTTGGTCAATGGACCTTAATCTCAATTGAATCCATAAATTCTAGTCATCTTACATTTGAAACAACCATATTTCATTTGATATAATGAACTAAATAAGCTCCCGACCCTATCTTGAATCAACCGTTAACAAAGTCATGAACTTAATAAGCCCTTGAATCAATATTAACTCTGAGCATGATTAGAAGTTTCAACGAATCCAAGTCACTAGTCATTTCTCTCAATAGTCCAAGTTAACTTACAATTAAAGTAACAAGTATTTGATGAGAACCAAAAACTGTATCATTCAAAACAAGTCCACAATGTAGAAGAAAGAGAAGCTCAAGATAACCACAAGATCGAGCCCTAATCCAATTATCCCCAGTTGAAGCCTAACAGAAGAAAACCCTAATTCTTAAGCATTGAAGAAAGATTGCAACCTGATGTTGAGGAGAGAGAATATCCCTGTAGTTTGATGATAAAGAAGTCCAGGAAATAAAATCCGAGTTCAAACAAATGATTGATGGAGAAATCAACCGAAACAAGCTTGTGCAAAGATAAGAGCCTTAAATCCATACAACAAACCTAATTCCTCGAAATCCCGAATCCCAAGCCAAACTATTGACTAATGATGCATGATGTGTTAGATGACCTAATGAAGGTTATGTACCTTAATCTCAATTGAATCCACAGATTCTAGTCACCCTTGCATTTGAAGCGACCAACCTCCATTTGATGAAATGAGCTGGATGAGCTCCTAACCCATAGCTTACCCAACCGTACATATCTAAACTTGACAAAACTCAAAGAAATCTTTCAGTAAGGGAAGAGTAGCGCTCAATGTAGCCTTGAAGTGAGACTTTAACTCAATAAACCTCCATAGAAGAATCACTACCAAGCTTAAACAAAATGAAGAGAAATCCTGATTCTCTGGCTGAGTTAGGCCGTAATACCTTTATTCCTTGAAAGAACTCTGATGAAGAAAAATTTGTATCTTGAGGAAACCTGATAGCGAAGACATCTATGCTGCTTGAGATCCAAAACCCTAATCTCATACCAAGAAAAATGAGAGCGCCAGTTGAATCAATTTTGAGTAAGACGACAACCTCCATTCAGAGAGAGAAACCCTAATTCCAAAGCGCTTTGATCTTATAACCATGAGACCAATGCTATGTGCGAAATGTACAAAGTGTGATGCGGGATCTTAGGGGGAAAATTGGGGTACAACACTTCTATTAATATAAAAGGAAAAATTTAAGAAATGGGCTGGGCCAAATCGAACAAGCCCAAACCCAGTTTTACTAGAGGGAATGGAGTTTGTAAAACCCTAAAGGCAAAAACAGAATGAGGAAGCGCCTATTTTTCTGAAAAATGTGAAACAACACTCTTCAATTTTCTTTCTGTATTATCACTCTCTTCTCTCAACTCACACCCCTTCGTCGATTTTCAACGATCAACAATGATTTGTTCCTTACTCGCGATTCCGCTCACAAAGTCATCAAACTCCAACCAAACTTTCTAACCAGAAATCCCGTAGTGTTCTCATTTCGTTAACCCTAGAAATCTGTTTCAAATGAAAAACCCTCGGCCCTCACTCACAGGAAAGATAAAAGAAGCAACGACAACAAGTATCAATGGCAACGCATCATGGAAGCGAACGATAACAACATGTTTATAAGAAAATAAGGAGACTCACTAAGTTCCAGCGATTCACGATTCTATCCAAAGCTTTGACTCAGGTGAACTTGAATTCCTTTCCCCTTTTTTTCTGTCAAATTCATAAACTGTTGTTGTTGATTAAATTTGCTCACTTCTATTTCTTTTGATCTGTGCGTTTCAGGGCTTTTGTTTGTGTATCGAATTGGCGAATTCGCGGTAGCTGGTATTCAATGTGGGAATGCCAGGTGATGATGGACGAAGATGATACGAATTGGTAATGTGAGATTTTTTTGAACGAGGTTCTGTAAGTGTTCTGTGTTTGGGTATTGTTTTCTTGGTTTTCTTCGTGGGTTCTCTTTGGCTCTTGGTTTTGTTGGATATGGTTTTTGTGCTGGTTCTGTTATATTGTCTTGGTATCTCCCTTCTTTCAGTTTGCTGGCTATTGTATGTATATTGGTTTTTGTTTTTTTTGTTCCCTGGTTTCTTGGTATGCTGGCTTTTGTATATTTTTGCTTGGCCTCCTCCCCTTTCTTTATGAAATAGCCATTGGTATTATAACGAAAACAGGGTAAAAAATGGGGGGAAAATTTGAGGTTTTTGTCAATTTGTGGCTACTGTTTTATTGCTTTGTGGCTGTAGTTTTTGTGTTGCCATTTTGGTGTAAGTTTTGGACAACTTTGCAGCATATTTTTGGGCTATTTTATACATGTTTTGGACTGGCTTCCTTGGTATTATTATGCAGACTGTGTGGCTGGTTTTGGACTGTATTGGTTTGTGGGGCTGTTTTTGCAGTTGGAGCAGATTTTTAGTCTGCTATGGGCAGCAATGCAGGTGATATCTTTTCCTCTTTTATCTTTCAATGATGTAAATCAAACTTGCTTTTATTCAATAATTTCTAAAGGGTTTGTATGCTTTAAGGAAAATGATGATGTAATATGGTGGGTTGAGCAAGCTAGCTTGCTATTTTTCCTTGTTCCATTTTGTTTTACCTGTTGCCGCCTTCTTTGTGCTGCTGTAACCTTTTGTTACAGGTTCTGCTATGGTCTGCTCTGCTGCATTGCAGCCTGCCCTTGCTTGCTTCCCCTTGCTATTTGACCTCGCTTGCTTGCCCTATTTTGTTTGTTTGCATATTTTGTTGTTGCTTTCTGCCTGCTGCTATATTTGTTGCATGTTTTGGACAGCCTTGGCTTGGCTTGTTGTGCTTGACAGCTTTGGGCTTGCTGTATATTTTCTTGCTATTTTGACAGCCTTGGGCTTGCATATTTTCCTTTTCCTTTTTGTTAACCAAGGCCCAACCTTGAACCCCCAAATTTTCCCTCCCATATTTCTCAAAATATTTCAAGAAAGAACCTCAAGTTGCTCAAGGTAGTCCAAGAGTTAGTCAGACAAGCCCTCCTAAGGCAGTCTACTCCAAATTAGGGTTTCATGTTGCATCAATATACTTGAGTCCAAGTGATCCCAAGTGCTCACCAATGTCCTTATATGTTCTCAAGATCCTCCATGTCAAGTTTCAAGCCTTGCAGAGGATGTTTGCTCAGTCAAATGCTCAAAGGTCCAAAAATCGTCTGTGCTAGGGCAAAAGTCAACTGTGACCCACATACAATCAAACTTCAAGATTTTTTGTCAACATTATCATTTTGAAGGATATTGCATCATTTTATCAAGGATTGATCATGATTCATCAAGGATTGCTCATAATTCATCAAGATTCAAAAGTTGCTAAATTAGGGTTTTGTAGGAAAAGTCAATTCAACTTTGACCAAGCATAAATTTCTCATACTTTATGAGAAATGACTCATCCAAAGCTCATTTTTAAGGGGATGCAATTCCCTACAATCCATCTTCATCTCCCAAGATCAAAATATGCACTCACAAGAAGTTATGAATTTGGACATTATAGGTCATTTTTGAAAGTCAACAAAAACACATTTTTTTGTCAAAGCTTCATACATGAGCATGGAATATCAAAATGAGATGATACCAAAAGGGTTGATTAGAGGACATATCAAACTTTCTAAAAAGTCCAAGAAAAACTCCAAAGAATCAAAATGGAGGAAGTTATGCATTGTTGAAGTTGACCCTTTTTGCAAAATTGCCAAAAGTCAACTATCCCTAAAACTTCAAATTTTGCCAAATGGGCCCATTCTTTTTCACTTGTTTTGAGTTGGAATTATAGCCCACGTGCTCTAGCCTTTGCCACTTGTCCATATCATATTTTTATTAATTATTTTGATTTTTATTTGAATTAATTTGATTTAAATCAAAATAAACCAAATAAAAATCCGAAACATTAATAACCAAGGATTTTGTGTTGTTTCAGGCTTCATTATACAGCTATCATCCTTCCAATTCGTGCCAAGCCTTAGAGTGGACAAAAAGATTGAAAAGAAGCCAATTTTGGAAAGCTTTAAAGAAGCAAATCAAATCAAATCAAATCAAAAGGGATTAAAGGAGGGAGATTTGGATCAATTATGGACTTGGATTCATTCTTTGTTACATAAGGAGGCGAGGCAGATCAAAATAAGGGTTGGAGAGGCGCGCTAGAGCAAAATTAGAATTTGAAAAAACAAGCAAAAAGTGTGAGTTCGAAATCACTCTGAGAGGCAGTCTCAAAGCTTGCTATTGATTCCAATCGCTTCCTGGCATTCTCTAGAAGCTAAAGCAATCCAGAACCGGTCCATTCCAGTCCTTAATTGCGCTGTAAGTCATTCATAACCCCGCTCTGTTCTTGAATTCATATCTTGGAATTTACGCATTGTTAACCTGAATCAATTGCATATTCTTAACATATGAAGAATTTGCAAGCTTTTGACATTACCCAATTGCATTTTAATGGTCTGTAACGAAATCCACCATTGTTAGGGTTTCAGATTTGCTTTTAGGGTTTTTGTTTTCAGGTACAATTAGCCTTCATAATGGCTATGGTTGTGACCAGGAGGACAAGACGAATCTAACCATGGTGTTAGATTCCATTTATATGGCCTGTAGGAGATTTTGGATGAACCCCTGTTTGTAGCGACGAACATTTGTCCGTAGGTATAGGTGGCTCAACTTTTAGCCACGGTCCAAGAACAGGGATGAAGGCGTGTCACCCCACCATTGGCTGGTTCAAACAAGCGCGCGTTTTTTTATTTGTTTTCCAATTTTCTTTTGTTTTATATATTATTATTAGTTTGTATTATATTAACAATAAGAAGCGAATGGCGTAGTGGTTACCATGTGTATTTTCAAGGCGTTGAAGGCTGGAAGTCAGGGGTTCGATCCCTGCCTCCAACATTTGTTATTTTTCCTAATTATTTCAGGTGATTCAGTGTGCACTCAAGCCTAGTGTCCACCATATGCCTTCAGCATCAAGCGTGCCAGATGGCCAGATGGCCAGATCTAGTGGTCACCATTGCAAGCACACAATGGACCAAGTCAAACATGCTACACTGGATGACAAAAGTCAAACGGACCTCTCCTCAATTGGGCCCAGAAAATTGCTATGCACACCCTTAAAAATTAGGCCCAATCTCTTTCTTTATATTTTCCCTTCTATATTTCATTTAATTATTTTATTTCATTTAATTTAATTACTAACCAAAATTAATTTTCTTTTTATCAAAAATCACCAAAAATATTTTATGTCCAATTAAATTTCAGAATTTTATTTTTCATTAATAAATATTAATTAAATTAATTAGGTTATTAATTTTAGATAACTTTCATTTATTCTGTAAATATTTAAAATTAATTAGAATCAATAGGTTTTAATCATTAGTTTAATTATTTTATTTCTTTCCTAAAAATAAAAAATCCAAAAATATGTCATTTAATTATTTTTCATTAATTAAATTAATAACTAATTGATTTAGCATTTAACTTTAGGATTTAATTTCTTTTCTTAAAAAATAAATAAAAACAACAAAAACTTTTTCTTTTAATTAGGAGGGTCAAAACCCTAGTTTCACACTCAATTCAATTCTCTCGCGTGTTTTATTTTTGTTTATCCAAATTATTGTATCTGCTCCCGGTTTGTAATAATAATTAGGACATTTATTTATTTCACCACTTTTAAATTTCAAAGGGTTTGTCTTTGGCGATGTAAATACCCAACGCCTTGTAATAATTTAGTTTAAATTCCGCACCGTTAATTTCTGCAAATATTCAACTGCTAGATGTTTGGTAATAGGGTTTGCATGACAAGAATGAATGTCTAATTTTAAAACAGTTAGATCACCCTAAACATGTGCAAAGACAAAAATAACTGAAATCAACACACTCGCACATGCGCACTCCTAAGATACACCCCTCTTGGTTTCTTCCTAAATGGTCATTGAGTATAGGTTATTTTAGAGGTCTCCCTCTTGTCTAAAAGATCATAAGTTGCCTCAGAAAGGTGGCCTCAGATATTGTTGCCTCGGACAAATGATCTAAGACATTAGGGTTACCACTAAGACGTCCTAACGTTGCT